ACCCCAAACCTTCAATTAAAGAAAAAAACTAAATAAATTACAGGTTGCAATAAAATAAAATTGCAATAAAATTATACCATTTTATGGTGTATTTTACGTATAGTTGTTTTGTTGTTGTTGTTTGTTGTTTTTATTTTGTAAGAATATTCAACATTGCTGTCAATACATTTTTCCAAAAAAATGTCTCTCTGTGCAAAATGGGTTTAAAAACATAAACAACTGTGGGATACTGTTTGTCTGTGATTTGGACAGCCCAGCTTCTGCTCCCGACGCAGGGGAAATAAATTCTGTCGGGGATACCGACCTTGGCACCGCCGTTGTGCAGGTGAAGCCAAAGGCAAGATATGCGTCATCATGTTCTCTAGCCTTTGGCTTGGAAGGAAGCTGGTTTGGAAGCATATTTGGCGATACATCATCCCGTACTTTACTTTTGGGAGCCCAGTCAAAAACCTGTACATTATGGTAGAAGTGTCTAAGCATTCTTTTTTTTTTTTGATTCACACTGCCCCCCTGCAGTTGCTCTGCCCCCTCCACTTTGGGAACCACTGGGTTCGATAAATGCTCTTACAGCCTTTGTTATTATTCCCACACAGTTTTGTGTGATGTGAAAACAACTACAGCACACTCACAGCGGATGTTAGTCCGCTCAACAATTTCGTGTTTCGAGTTTGGTGTTCAACACATCAGACACACCTGTGCCTGCAGCTGTTTCAGACTACTGCGATGACGTGATGTTACGTTGCACATGCGGCTGTCACACGGCACGTCAAACTGTATATCACCAGTTAACGTGGGTGTGTTTCCTAAATTAGCAACAGGTGTTTAACAGCTGACGGAGTGAACAGATGTGTACAGGTAAAGTCGAGGCACAACGCCTTTTGTTATGTTTTAATTTAAATAGTTTTATTGTTGTCTGAAGGTAATATTGATACTACGGTCAGATGAAGCCTCGAAGCTTTCCATCCAATTGGATAAAACAAAAGGTTTATTTCTTGAGACTTCATGTTCACACAATTCTAACTACCTTCCCTCTCTTTGTTACCATCCAAATACACTTCTCCAATGTCCAAATCACATTCCATTGTCATTGCTGTAGATCCTAGAGGTGTGGATCAGTGATTTTATGTCTCGTTCACTCCTGGTATACAGCTTGCTGTCATTCATGTAGAGGATTTGCTGATGATTACACCTTTCTGTAGTTGGTTTCCCTAGCCAGTCTTGTCAATGATCTCACTGAGGGGGTTCAGGCCTATGTGGAACAGCAGTGCGGACAGACCACCTCTTTGTTAAATTAATTGGTTTGAAGTTGGACTGTTGTTCACCACAACGCCATCAAATTTCTGATGAAGGCTCTTAGGATCCTGTTAATCTTGTATAGTTCAAGGCATTCCAGGATCCAGGTGTGGGGCATTGAGTCATAGGATTTCTGTAGTCAATCCAGGTGATGCACAAGTTGGTGAGCCTGATCTTGCAGTCTCCGGTTACTGTGCTTTCTACCAGTAGCTGGTGTTTCTGCCAATTCCTTTCCGTGCCCTGCTCAAGTATTGAGCCATATGCCTGTTCATCTTAGCCGCTATGATGCCAGACAGGAGCTTCCATATGGTACTGAGGCAGGTCATTGACCGGTAGTTGGATGGGACCAGTCACTTATGGGGATCTTTAGGAATCAGGACTGTCCGGCCTTCAGTGAGCCATTTTGGATGTGTCACATCTACTGCTGGTTTATTTGTGCGACCAGACACTCATGGAGTGCAGCCAGTAGGCATGAATCATGTTCAGTCCTGGTGTTTTCCAACTCTTCATACTGGAGACCTTTTCTTGTATGTCTGCCACAGTGATTGTTACTGGATCCTGTTCAAGGAGGGAGGCTGCTGTGCAGAAGAACACTAAACATGATTTTACCATTAGATCCTGACCTCAAGCGTAACAACTAGGGCCCAGGGTAGATTTTTTTTGGGACCTTAGTGTCACATTGTACAATGAACCCGATCTGAGGTCTAACTTTATTCCTCCTGCCTGGCAGGATTCCTTTTCTCTCTCACTGTCTCCTAACATGCCTTCCCTCTTTCTTCTGTGTCCTTATTTGTCTTTGGCCAACTGTAGCAGTTTCCACAGAAACCCTACTGGCCAACAGCACCAGAGGTGATTGTTGTTAACCCGGGCCTTAAACAATCCGGTATGGAAATCTCATTCTTTATGAGCTGCATTTTTTGATTTGGCCAAGATTTTAGACTCTTCCTGACACAACCATCTCCAATTATCTGGGCTTGGGACTGGTACTAAAAGTACACTGGTTTGTGGAAGCCCCCATGGCTGGGTTGTGCACTTGAAAGAAAAAAGAAAAAAAAGTAGCATATAGTAAAAATCAGTATGTAGCATCAATACACCTTCTGATTAACATCATGGACTGCAATCAGAATACATGGTGGTATTTTCATCCTGCTCTCAGGAAATGGAATTATCTAAGGTTGTGATATAAACTCACCCAGATTTTGTCATGGGACTGTACTGAACTGATCTCAGGCGCAGAAACCCAGAGCAGAGACAGCAGATGATTTAACAATATTTTATTAGGCTTAAGCACTAGAAACATAGCAAGGACAAAAAGAAACAATAAGACAGAGTTTGACGTGGCATGGCCTGGGAAACGTGGCTAGGGTGAGGGAACGGGGCCTGAGATGCAGAATGGATATGAGCAGGGAACTGTCACATTGCAGTAGGGGACACAGAGTGTTGAGATGGGAGTGACGAGAATCCAGGGGAGCCGAGTGGCGTGGCGAGGCTGACCTGAGATCCAGGGTCTTCAGATGGAGTGTGATGGCAGGAGGGCAACCAGGTGAGGCACAGAGTGATTTTCAAAATGATTGCTTGGTATCCTGAGTCCAGAGGTAAAGCACGAGCCAAAATGAATCCAGCAAATGGGTTGATGACAAACTGGCAGTGAATGAACATCAACATGTGGCTTAAATCCCTCTGGCTTGATTGCCTGCAATTGGCTCCAGGTGTGCAGGAGCTGGACTTGGTGGTGGCCCTGCTCAGGGGCGGATCCCAGATAGGTTCAGGAGCCTTATGGAAATTCCAGCCACCCACAGCAGACTATGACAGATTTATCTTTCCTAAAGTAACATAAAGACAACTCATGTCTGAAACCATGGAACAAAAGGGACCACCCTATTAACCACAAGTCTTCATAAACTATCGACACACTCAAATTACAGTATGAATGCAAGACTGATTGAAGTGGTTGTTATGCTGTAATGTGGAAAACGCTAACACAGTAACAGTATTTGGTCATGCTGCTATCACTGATGCCTCAATCACATTTGACAGCTTCTAAATTAACCTTACAAAAATTTTACCCTATTATTGTGGGTTATGATGGTAAGCAGTGCACTGTATCAAAAGTAAATCCTATTACATCATGAAAAGAAAAGAAAAACAACTCAAATAAAGTAACAAAAACATGTTTATTATCAGCAGGGTGTATAAAACCGTTCATTGTGAAAAGTA